GGGGTAAAATCGCAAAGGATTGTAGGTACAAGTGGCAATTGGTACTAGCGTGCACGGGCTATTACAAGACAACAGTCACAAAGAGATAAACAGAGACACAAAGAATGGCAAGAAGCTGCTGTATTATTTACTGCCATAGCCGGTCGCATGACAGCCACGGGAAGCAGACAGGTAAAGAGATCGTTTTTTTATCAGATTCCTTCGTGGAAGAAAAATTGTTCAAGTCATGTTTCCGACTGGGTTAACCTGGGTTATACAGAGTTTAAAGCTGCTACCACAGCGAGATTTGATCGGTTGACAGAGGGAGCGACATCAAAACAGCCACGAAAAGTCCCGCATATATGTGCCCAAGTGTTGTATTGAAGCAATCAAGTGATTAAAAACTGTTTTCCAGTATGTTCTTTTGCAATGGTTTTTTTTTGCTGTGTTGATTTTTTTTTTTTTTTTCAGCGAAGCAGCTAATAAAGTACAATGGAATACAATTTTGCCTCTTTCTTGTAAGATTCTATAATAAAATGAAACAATAGTGCCAGTTATAAATAAAGATAAAAAAATAAAAATTATGAAACACTTATTTTATTTCTATTGGATCTAAAAATGTTGTGTAATACTACAACCTGAAAAGACAAATAGATTGTGTTGGCCTGTAAACGAGATACAGAAAAATTTTTTAATGACAGCTGTAAAATGAAATAGTCCAAATCAGAAAATAGATACACCAAAGTAAATTGGACCTGGGCTTGTTGCAGGAATCTGAAGTTACTAAACACTTCGTGAGTGTATGCACTCACACTTAAGACATAATTATAAATATGTGCGTGATGAAAGTTGGGCAGCACGCTAACGTCTTTAGTCCACTGTATGCGCATATGGTCTCTTTTTTGCCTTTTTGTCAAGTCTCTTTGTACGGACCTGCCTTGTTCTGCTTCGTTTTGTACATAACTAGGGATTAAAACCACAAAATTAATGATTACTGGAAATGCTAGCGCTTGATGCAGCGTTTTGATTTTGCTGCCACTCGTACCTACAACGCAATGCACGATAGTCACATGGTCTGTTGATCTCCATTTACCTGGGATTCTTCGTTTTAATGGAACTCTGTCATCCATGTAGTCCTTCTTAAAACCTTCCACAGGTGAGCTTCGCTCTGAAGTGGGATATAATGAGGCATGCCATTTCTCAGGGTCCCAGACACCATCACTATTTAAAAACAAACAAAAAAAATAGCCGCACATAAGACTTAAGTCCATACTTTAAGTCAAATTTCAAATGAAGACAGACAACTACAGCCTCAACTGGGATCCTGTTTAGGAAAAAATAAATAAAGAGTAACAATGAAAAGATAGGCATGGGCAAAAATACAATACACAGGTGAGGCCATCCATTTCAACCTTTATGCTGTGAGCACAGAATACAACCCAAAAGGAGGGTGCAAGAAAATCAGATCTTCAAAATAATAAACTAATTGATACTGTTGCACTAGCAGTGTTTAACTCTGATGACAGACTACTATAAACAATTTTTCCAACAGTTGAGACAAATCACATTTAATCTGAAGTCATTCGTGAACTCTCCCATAAAGACATTACACTTAATGACGAGTTCTGACACTTGAGTATCCATCAATAAAGATGTGATTAGATGACAACTAAAACTGTTTGAAGGGTTTAGCAAGAGTAGCTGCCTAGGCAGAGACCACCCTCACACCTCACCACACTAACGGATGCAAACATAAGCAGATCTAAAAAATAATGACAAACTGCTCAGTTCAGAAAAGATCTTCGAGGGCAACTCCTAGTAGGCTTTGAAGGGGTGAAGAGGTCTCTCTTTTTTAATGATTAAAAATAAAACCCAAAAAAACAGCTTGACCCACCCTTTAATGAGCCCACTTTTCATATAGTCATAACTAGGGATGGGTATCGTTTAGGTTTTATCCGATACCGGTGCCAAATCGGTACTTTTGAAACGGTGCCGGTGCTTAAACGGTGCTCAAACCGGTGCTTAAAGAATGGAGAACACAAAATTGGTCCAAAAACCTCTCATGTTCAGCTGTTTTTTGTAAAAAGATAACAATGTTAGCCTTTTCTGCAGCTATGGGGCATATATGGTATCACTCTTGGCTGGAAGCAGTGCTTAAACAATGGAAAAAACACAAACTTTGTCCTAAACCTCTCATGTTTAACTGTTTTCCACTTTTTCTTTGGTCATTTTAGCCTTTTTGGCCAGGGTGAAGGGAGTATCTGCCATCAAACAAGAGGACAGCCGCATGTAGCTATGATGATGTTTGCTAGTTCACCTTACATGCATTAATGTAATAACGTGGTTAGCCTACTCAACGTAAATTACACACGAACAACATTAAGCTACTCATGCAGAGAAGAACGGCTGCTGCTGCATCATCATCCGTCATCATTTCTGCTACACTGGCAGGGCTAGGGGCCAGGACTCTCTCTTCGGGTTTTTGGGGGATGTTGCTAACTCCGGGTCCGATAACAGGCAACCACACCCGCAGTAGATGTGCTCGGTGTGAGGTCTCGCAGCAAGCTATCAAATACGGCGCATTTCTCGGCTTTTAAAAAAAACGCTATGCGTCGCCAGGTGTTTCATCGGATTTGAGGTGTTACCTCCTTTGACAGTATCACAGTATCAGCTTAAAGCACTTGTTGCAGGCTGCTGAGTTTGCATATTTTGCTGTGAAGTACAGCCAGACTTTTGACCGCTTCGCCTTGGACATTTTTAATCTGTAGCTCTGCTCTAAAAGAACGTACGTACCTGGCCCCGCCTACTATCCTCGGAAACGTAAAATGATTGGCTAGAAGTGTATCACAGCTCAGGAAAAAAAAGCACCGAAATAAAGCATGCGCTGCTTTTCGGTCTGGTTACTACCGTTTATGTCAGAACCGACACCGGTACCCATCCCTAGTCATAACCACTGTTCCTGGCTCTAACAGCTATGGGACAAAGATACAAGTCTTCTAGCGCAAGCGTTTGTTTAGCTTCTCAAGCAGACATCTGAATAAATCTTTGACTGTTGTTTAAGAATTACCCCAAGGAATTTAAATGAGCTCCGAGCAAGAGACAAGCTGAAAGTACACGTGACTTCCAAAAAGCAGGAGCAAGTCTTCTTGACAGTTAAACCATGTCAATGATTATTACAAACTTTATGCAAATTTTAGTTTCAAGACCGTGAACATATTTGTGTAGAAACTCCTCTGCTGTACCTTGTTTAATCAAAGTAACTTTTGATTACATACACTTCAGTTCCAGCAAAACATACATTTGAATAACTGTTGGTCTGTGTCAAAAATCAGTATTTCACAGCATAGAGAAATACTAGTACTTTTCCTAACTAGAATTCACCCATGCTTTCTCATTTGAGAAGCATAATCTCCTCTCCAGTATTACCCAGTGTGACTTTTACAAATTCATACCTGTCATATTTCTCAGAGAGACATTCAGGCCTTTCATTGGAGATTGGCAGCTCTTTGATTTCCAAAAGCTCCTCCTGCAAATAAATTGATAGTCTAGTTTAATTCACAGCAACATCTAAACTTGATAAACAATGACACAGCTGGCATTTTGTCACCTTAGTGTATCTGTAAGGAGCTGTGGCTGCCAGCTTAGGCTGGTCGACAGCAGCTTCACCATTCTTAGGCTCTACACAGGCATCTTTCTCCATGATGGATTTCAGTCAGTGCAGACAGTGTCTCAGCCACCAATGACTCTACACCTGTGGATGACAAGTTAACATTTACAAGTCAATTATACTCGACTACGGCCACTAAATACAGTCTTAAAGGCCAATTACTTCAAATGAAAGGACGCATGTTCCGAAGATTTAAAAAAACAAACAAAAAAATCAAAAGCACGGCTTCCTTCTGTTGCTGCAAAATATATCAGATGTATTGGCATCTTAAACTAGGCAGCACGAGAAAACAAAATTATAGAAAAGTTGTCGTGAAGAAAAACTCTCATGGAACTTACCTGCACCGGGCAGTTAAAGAACAACCCTAGAGTCTCAGGTTGTTGCTGGCTAATTAGCAATTTAATTGACAGCAGCTGAGAACTGACATGTCATTATATTACAAAGCATTTACGTCAATTTACTAATTGGCTATCGCATTTGAGTTGTAAACGAAGCCGTTTTGCAATGAAAGGATCCAGCGAGTTAAATACATGTAAACATTTCAATACAAAACATTCCCCATCATTTCAGCTTTAGGAAATAAACGCTACTAGTTAGCCAAGAGATTGATACAGGGTTAGCCAAACGATGGTAGCGTCCCACACAGTTAACCATAAGGCGAATTCATGGCACAAAAGTTGTGTAGACAACCGACTTGCAAGTCAAATTTTGGCAAAACACGGACTTACTCAGTTTGAATGCTGTGGGGAATGCCGGTCGCTAACGGCCGAGCTGATCACGTTAGTTAGCTGGCTAGCCTAGCCTAGCACTTTCAGCTAGCTAACTAGCTGGGGGACTGGGGATAAATGCCCACCCAGCGAGCACCAAATCGTGAGCCGGTAGAGTTGTCGCTGTGATTTCAGGGAGCACACACTATAGAGGGGTAACCTAACACAATAAGACTGGTCCAAAACAACAAATTAAATCACACGGAATCGGTGAAATCTCAAATAATAGTCTTCTCTTTCTCTGTTTTCTAAGTCGTAGCAGAAATTTTCCTCTGATCACCGCTTTAAGAAGGTCCTGGCAAAGATTACGCCGTGACCAGCGCGCCTTTGTAAAAAATTAAAATGGGCAGGTGTGCGTTGGCGATAGTTATTTTGAAATCTAAATCAATATATGAAAATTAATTTCCCAATAAATTGGTTTATACGTATGTATATAACATATTGAAAATGTAAATAGCTTTGTAGTGATTTTTTTATACTACGGTAAAAGGCACTTGACAGGCATTATTAGAGACGGCCATATTTTGTCTCAGGATTCGCTCGATTTGTGATTCTCCACCGCCGGTCTCCTGGTGGTCCGTATGAAAATAAAGACCCCGTCCTCGCGGGCAGTCAACGACTGACATTTCGTGTCATCGTCGTTAAACTGAGGGGACCTTAACTACGTTCTTCCCGTGTGAAGTAAACATTTCAGAATGTAAACTGTTGTAGAGGGAGGTGTATGAAAAACAGCACCCCATATTGAGAAGTTTATTAAGCAGACCTTGACTCTTACAACTACCACAACCAGTTTAGTGTGGAGCGGCAGCGGAGGTTGTTGCTGTTGACAACTGTGTATCGAAGACACCAAGTGGTCACGTGATAAGGAAAAACAAACGCGCGGCACTTTGTAAAGAGTTTTAACGTGAGCATAAATGAAGGTAATTTTGTCATGTAAGCTACGACAGCCTTCAAAGTGTAAAATGAGGATGATTGTATATGAGAAGTGATGCGATTCGGTGCTCTGTATAATAGGCGCTTGAAAAATGCAAAGTAGCGGCGGAAACTCAGATCCAGTAAGACCCCGTTTAAACTATGTCAGATCTCGTGGCGAAGCAAAACAGGTGCGCAAAATTCACATCAGAAAGGTCGCTTACAGAGTTGGATACAGCTGGAACAAAGGTGGAAGACTCAAGGAGCTGAGAATAAGGTGCTGAGACTATTCCTTGACCCATTGTTATCATGTTACTGTCTTCCTGAAAATTAAGTCTCCATTCTTTTAACTTCTGCAGGCACCTTGCAAGAAAGTTTCTGAAGATATGGATACAGAACACCTTTGGCCGAGTTCTTCCTCATGAAGCAAAGTAACTTGTTTCATTTATTTTGGAAATTGAAAGCATTTTCAAGTTTGCCATCTGGTTGCCCTCGTTTTCCTACCTGCTCACTAATTCCAGTGTTTTCCAGGTCGCATTATAACAGAGTGGTACTGAGAAGAACCTTTGAAGGATGGAGAGATGAGTGGTGGTCATCCAGGAGGGAGTGGAGTCTGAACATGCGAGCAGACTGTCACTACAGGTCATTAGAGTACATTATAGGAAATTATGAAGGACTTTTATAGTTGAATAACCAAAGTCTGTTCATGTATTCATGCTGCTTTTATTTCAGGTATTACCTGTGCAACTGGACTCTCCACAGCTGGCGAATGTTTGTGTGTTTGCAGAGGGAAAAGAAGATGCAACAGCAAAAGGCTCAGTCATTTGGTGTGACTTTTACCATTCAAGCGTAATATTGGTTTGGGGATTTTTTTTTTGTCAGATTTCATAATTCACTGACGTGTCATCACCCACTTTGTTTCTATTATCAGCTGACAAGCAGCGGATGCGTCTGGTGTTGGACAGATGGGAGGTTTTCACAGAGATGAGAAGACTGAAGAGCAGAATGCTGGAATCAGCTCTTGAGCAGTACAGGCTCTCAGCTATGCAGTGAGATTTGTGTTATCAAATGAAAACTTCTAGCATTATGATTTTTACCATAATATTGGTTTTACCTTTGTTTTTGTTTTGCAGCTCAGTGTGGAGCTTGTGGCAGACTAGATTACAGCACCGTCGAGACCTTCACATTTTGGAGGATCAAGCACAGAAACAGAGGGCGCTAACCTTAAAGACAAGGGTAAGGGTGTGATCGAACACCCCTGTGAATCACATGTTAATATTATTATTAATAGTAATAATAAAAATAACAACAATAACTTTTTTCAATACTGCACCTTTCAAAACAAAGTGACAAACTACAAAATGTTTAAGAAGAATTAAAAGTGAAACAACATAAAGTGTAGGAACACTGGCATTAGAAGAAGTTCAAAGGCAGTAGATAAAGACAAATCTTATCTTTATAATAATGGATTGGATTTATATAGCGCTTTTCAAGGCACCCAAAGTGCTTTACAATGCCATTATTCATTCACTCTCACATTCACACACTGGTGGAGGCAAGCTACGGTTGGAGCCACAGCTGCCCTGGGGCAGACTGACAGAAGCGAGGCTGCCATATCGCGCCATCTCTGGCCAACACCAGTAGGCGGTAGGGTAAAGTGTCTTGCCCAAGGACACAACGACCAGGACAGAGAGCCCGGGGATCGAACCGGCGACCTTCCGGTTACAGATACGCTTCCCAAGCCCCTGAGCCACGGTCGCCCCTTATAAAGATAAAGACAATTAAAATTATAAACATGTAAATTAAAAGCAATTATGAAAAATTTAAATAAATAAAAAATTATCACCAAGAATAAATGAAGGACAACATTCACTTCAAAGCAGAGGCACAGTAAAAACTTCCTCATCAAAGTATGTCTTTAAGAGAGATTTATGGTGATAGATGATCGTAAGCTCGGCAGTCTGATCTACTCAGTTAGGCTGTTCCAATCTGTCAAACTAATTAGATAAAGATGACCCAAGGAAATACAAAAAATAATAATAATAACAATAATATATTGATAATTTCATCTGTTGTTATTATTGAAATTTAAATTAACTGTGATTAATCACATACTTTAGAAAGTTGAGTTCAATTTTAATAGCCACACCTCAGCCTGATTCAAGGCAGACCTGTTGAATCAAGAAATAATGGAAATGGAACCTGTCAGACGAAGTCAAGTAGATTCACATCATACCACCATCTCTCTTTGGAAGATTTGAGTCCCGTTACATCTGGCATAAAACTCACACAGTATTTCATAAAAGAAAAATTACACCAGCAGTCAAACATGGTGGTGACTCTGTGATGGACCATGAATTCTGCTCTTTACCAGAAAATCCTGAATGAGAATGTCCAGCCATCAGTTCATGCTCTGAAATTCAGACGCACTTGGGCTATGCAGCAGAACAATGATCCAAAACACACCAGTGCGACTGAATTGAAATAATTCTGCAAAGAAGAGTTGGCCAAGATTCCTCCACAGGGATGTGAAAGACTCATTATCAGTTATTGCAAACACCTGATTTTAGTTCTCGTTGTCAGGGGTGGCACAAACAGTCATTAGGTTTAGGGAGAAATTGCTTTATCGCACAGGGCCTTGTAGGTTTGGATTATTTTTATCCTTGATAAATGAAATCATTACTTAAAACTGCATTTCATATGAACCTCAGTTATTTTTTATCTAATATTAACATTTGATCTGAAACATTTAAGTGAGATAAATGTGCAAAAATAAATCAGGAATGGGAAAATAGCTCAGTTATACGACAATCCTGTGAAAACTAACTCTTACTGAGTCTAAGTCCTAAACAGCATAAAATACGACTGAATTGAAATGCTTATCTAAGCTGAGGTGGTTGTCAACTTATATTATGCCCATGGACGACATGCTCCCAGGGTAAAATGTATAAAGAAAACCAAAGAGTAGTGAGCCTTGAGGTATATTACTCCTGTGTGTTCTCTCTGGTGATGAGTCACCTGATATATTTTGTATTGAAGGCTTGGCTTCAGTGGAAAGAGATGCAGATGGCTGCTTCTTGCCAGAAAGAAAAAGAATCCAGAGCTGCGTTTCATTTTATCTCCAGATTGAAAAGAAGAGCTTTGCATCAGTGGATAAGATATGTGTCGTATCGCCACACCAAGAAAGAAACACAAGGTCATTATAAAATACCCACACAGCTTTCTTGAAGCATCATTATTTTGCTATCTCTTAACACATTTTTATTTTTTGTTCTTTTGTGTTTCAGTTTTGGCTCAGCGTGCCTGCTCTCGCCTCCTGGTGAGGAAGTGTTGGAGTAAATGGAGAAATGCTCTCGATCGCAAACACAGTGAAGAGACCCGTTTGCAAGCAGCAGCCAGTTTGGCCATGCAGAGCATCCAGTGCAGAGCACTGGTGCGTTGGAGAGCTTGTATCCTGATCCACCTGTAGAATGGATAAAACTTGGATAAACTAGTTTTTCTACCTGCTACTAAATCAGTTTTAAGTTATTATCACTGTTGTTTGATTCTTGAGCTCTTCAGTAGATGTGGCATTGTGCAGAGAAGAAACTGAAAGAAAGAATGCAGCAAATCAACACTACCAACATCATTTAATGGTAATAAATAAATAAAATAATGGACCCACTCATAAGCAAAGATCAGCACGATCAATTCATGTATTCATCTCAGCGCATTCTCATTGCAGCGTGCTGGATTGCGAGGGTTGTCTCTTAATGTCGTGTTGAACAAAACATATCGACTGAACAACCGTATGGCTATCCAACATTGTCAGCAAACGGTAACTGATCTTCACGCTGCAGACAGTCAGTGTTAATCTCATTGAAGGTTTCAAAGCATCTGAAATGCTTTTTTTTTTTTTTTTTTGCTTTGCAGATGACTTGTAAGTACTGGAAACTATGGCAGGATCGTGTGGAGGAAGCTGAAAACTGGAGTTTTAAACCCCTCATAGAGATGGCCCTGAGTAACTACAGGTGCTCTTACATACATTTCCCAATCCACAGGGCTATATTCGCAGTTCTTTGTTGTAATACCGGTGCTACAAATGGAATTTGGTTCTCGTTGCAGCACTTCACTGCTTAGAAGACATTTTCACCACTGGAGAGAGAAACTTGCTGAGCAGAGATACATGCAGGTATTTTCAAATACAACTCAAGACAGCAGAGATACAGATGCTTTTACATTACAACACAATCAACTTGTTATGTTTTGTTTTTTTGTTTATTTTTTTTACAGGAACTGGAGCGTCGTGCAGACATTTGGTTTGTAGACCGTATGCTACCTCTGTGTTTCCAGTCTTGGGTTGAGTTTACCCTCCACAGCAGAATGCTTCAACAGAGAAGACTCAAAGCTCAAGCTTATAATCGGTGAGTCATCACCTTTCTCCTCTTCAGTTATGCAACTCTTCCCAAGAAATTAAAATAACAATATACCTTTTTAAATTTGGCTGCTTTCCCCTTTAAGGCTCTTATTTTTTTGGCTTCTCTGGGCCACTTTCAGTGTGGATGCTGTTTTTAGACCCTCTATTTTTAGATCACTGGTCCCATTCTGAGTGGTGGGATGCACGCACACAGATTCACCACAGTCTTTAAACAGAAAGCAGACATCATCTTCTGTGCCAAATTGACCCCAATTTTATTGAGGATCATTTTTGCTCGTGGGAGCTGGTCTCTGGCTGTAACTCAAAGACAAAAAGGTAGTTTTCTATGGAACTGTCTGTGGTATCCAAGCCCTGAGGCACCACAATCAGGAATCATTTCCCAGGCAGTCAGAGTATCAGATTGACTTTATTTAGGCATCTGAGGGAGAACATTCAGTTTGCACTATCTAGACTTTGGTTTGTACTGGTTTGTGTGTAGACTTTGTAGTTTTCAACCTCAGTGGGTGGATGAATATGTCCAAATGATCTGTCTGTCCCCTGTGTTGTCAGGCGGCGCCAGTGCGCCTGGGTGTTTTACACCTGGTGGGGGAAGTCGGAGAAGCTCAAGGAAGAGATGCTTTCTGAGCGGATGGTACGTCAACTGCAGATGAAAACTTTGTTGTGGTGCACCGCACTGGTGATAAATAACATTTACGTTTTTCCAGGCAGTTCTTCATGACGAGAGATGCCAGAAGCAGAGAGTCTGGACGCGATGGAGGCAGCGCACACAAGAGCGGATCAAAGAGGTGGAGAAACAGGAGGCTTCACGTAGTCTGTATCGTCGCACACTTCTACACAGGACGATGATGCAGTGGAAGGAAAACAGCACTGAGCTACGAGACAGGTGAAGCTCAAGAAGACGTTTTGGTGAAGTTGTTGAATCATTTGGGCTTGAGCTAAATGTGTTGTCGGCTAATAGAATCGTTTATTTGTTTTACTTCAGGAGAAACAGAGAGCAGCAGGCCTGCCATCAGGGTGATTTGCGCTGCTTAAGAAAGGCTGTAGAAAAATGGGAAAAGGTGATTATTTTACATTTTTGTTGAGTCTAGTCTGCACTCCATCTGTTACTTTAGTCATTGTGCAGTAAGGAATCAGTGCTTAAGATTTGAAGAAGACTGAAAGAATTTGCTTTTTGATGTGGAAATGTGTATCTTATAAATTCTGCTCAGCATCTCTGACAGCATGAGACTGCCTAAATGAGACCAAAGCTTTGGAGTGCCATTATGAAAGCTGATAGATTTTTCTTCCCTGCTTTGATTTTTATTATATTCATGTGTGATGTATCCGTTTTCTTTTTTCTCTGTGTGTGTCAGTTTGTTCAGGTCCAGAGAGCAAAGAAAAGCAGGCTGGAAGAGGTTCAGAGTTGGCATGAAGTTAAACTTCTAAAACACTCCTTTGTGGCCTGGAAGGTGCACATCTTATATCAGTTAAAACCACATGATTTTATTTGTTTAGGGTCATGAAAACAATGTTGAAGTCTATGCATTGTGGCCTGCTGTATTCACAGAAACACCACCTGCAGATGTCTCAGATCTATGACAATGCAGAGGAGCTTCACAAGCAGCACACTCAGTGTTTTCTCAGGTAATAAAGACAAATACTGTGTTTCATTCTAAAATCAGAATTTCATTTCTTCTGTTTAGAAATCCTAGGTGTTTGTTAGGATCTTAAGTTTCAGTCATGTCTCTCCAGAGTGGCGCTTACTGAGTGGAGGGAAAATGCAGAGCAGCGAGCAGAGATCCGGCTCGAAGAGCAACAAGCACAGAATCACTTCGATCACTCCCTTCAGCTTAAGGTTACAAAGCGATCTGATGCATACATGTTCAACATCATCAGGCGTCTTCATATTTTCAACACCAATTGCTTTCTTTTCACTAAATCTTTCAAGGTGTTTCATACATGGAGAGAAGCAACAACACTTGCGGTGTCAAAGCGCTTCCAGCAGAGGGAAGCACTAAGCAGGGCTCAGCAGTCTATAAATGAAAGTAATGTCATATGGTGCCATTTTAACTCCTTTTAGTTATTTATTTTTCTTTAAACAAACTTAACTTTGCTCTTGTGATTGCCACCTACCTGTAACCATTAAGAGCAGTGGTAAGTAATTTTGATATTCCAGCATGTCTTTCGTAGTCTTAGAGTTGTTTGGCTGTCATGGAAAGATATCGCCTAGACAAATGCAGCAGTTACCTTAGCAGTTGTCAAAGATTTTGTACCTGTTAAGTAACTGTTGCATCAGAACTGTGTTGTCTGGTTACCAGGTGTATCCAAATTGTTGTAAACTTTTTAATGATTTCTGTGTTTAGTGCGGTTGCTGCAATTTTTCAGACGATGGAGGAATCGGACCAGGGAGGCTCGGAGGGAGAGGATAATCATGGAAAAAGCCAGGAGACACCATAACTCCAAACTCCTTTCTAATGCGCTGAAAGCTTGGAAAGAGCATCACTACCAGCACCAGAAGAATAAGGTTCTAACTTCTTTTATCCCTCAATGCATATACATCTATACTGTCATCAAGCTGTAATCTAATTTGTTTAAAACTGTGATTTTGTAGGTGATGAAACGACAGGGACTGTTATTGCTGAGATTAAAAATGTACCAGATGTACTTTGAGCAGTGGAAAACAAAGGTTTGTTGATTTTCCTTTTTTTGTGGTCTGAACAGACTGATTGTTCAAAACAAGTGAATATCTACCATTTGCTTCTATTTTGCTTTTACTGCTAATCATTTCTGTTAGGAAAAAGAGTTATGGGAAAACAGCAAAGTCAGACTTTAAATCAATAGATTTGATTCATCAAATCAGTATTTGGTGTGGACAGTCTTTACTTTTAAAATGGCATCAGTTCCCCTTACTTCATTTGCTCCCAGGTTTTTTATGGCACTTTGAAGGTTGGTTTATTTTTGGCCATCTGAAGACCTTGCCACATTTCTTCTATGGATTTAGGCTGTCTCTGTGTATTCTGACTGTGCGATTTTTGAGATCTGTCTGTGTGTTTATTGTCGTCATGCTGCAAATGTGGAATTTCTAATGAATGAGTATTGATTGGTTTTGATTGAGAGCAGTTAAACAGGCTTTGGTTTTTCTTTCTGCTAACAGCTGCAGCACAGACAGCGAGAGGCGAAGCAAACGGAGAGAGCACTCTGGCACTGGTCCCTCACACTTCAGGCCAAGGTAAATAACCTGCCTCCACATTCTTTTCTCTCTACACCACCAAATGCATTGCAGAAATGGTGCTCACAGGGTCTAACAAGCCCTCTTATACTTTCTGGACCTGACGCAGGTGTTGTATGGGTGGAGGATTTGGGTCACAGAGCAGCGGAGAAAGCAAGAACATGCTGCCAGAGCTGCACTGGTCTACAGAGACCAGCTGCTGAGGGAGGGGGTGACATGCATCCTCACATATGCCGCTCATATGAATGATCTCACAACAAACCTAACACAACACAGTCAACTGCAAGTAGGTTATTGTGCATTTCTTGTGATTTCTAGACCTAAGATTTCAGTGCCTCACCTCTCTGCTTGTGTCCTGCAGAGATCACAACACCTCCAGAGAGTTGTTAAACGTTGTGCTGCACGGTGGAAGCAGCGGGCACTGTGCAAACCCCGAAGAGAGCAAGAGACGAGAGGGCAGCCAGCAAAAAAGAGTGTGAGCTTCTGTCTGAGCAGTGTTTCATCTTCTGACTCAACAAAGCAGGAAGCTGCAGCTGGATTGCACAGCAAGCTGTGAGTGTGTACTTCACTCTGACAAGCCGTGAAACTGTTCCACACATGCAGTTTGACTTTTTTTTTTTTTTTTTTTAGGCTGCATACCCAAACATTGCAGCCTTTAGCCCCATAAAGGGAAGAGAAGTTATCAGTAAAAGAAACATTGCTTCATGTTTTTTGATGGTAAAATCCTTTTTCCAATGCTGTATGTGGTAATACATGAAAATAAAAACAGAAGACAAACATCTGAATATCGTTTGAACTATAATAAGCTTACTTAAATTGAAGCATTGTGCTAAAAGTCAGTGTAGGAATCACTGATTAAAGCTTTTTCTTTTCCGTTTACTCAAGTACCCAGCCACAATCTGCCGTCACCAACATTAAAGCAGCTCCAAACTCATCTGAGTCCAGTCGTCCCACACAGAAAAACCATCCAGCGTCAAACTGCCGCCATGCTGATGAAGTTTTTGTTGCCTCTCCACATCAGTGCAGTGTCATGTCAACTGTGCCACCTTCTGAATCTCTAATGTTCAACATGGACTTTTTTCAGCACACCCAAAACCAAGAACCTCTTTTACCTCCTTCTGCTTTCATGACTACTGGGATACAGAATAAAGTAAGATAAGATACACCTGTTTGACATATCAGCAACTTTTTTTTGCTGTATTAAGTAACTTAATTTGGGTTAAACCTTTTTTTCTTTTTAAGTTCAAATCAAGTCTTGGAGACTCTCCAGTTGAGCGTTTTCCTCAGTCTGTCACTTCTTTAGATCCCCACTCATCTGCATATCCAGGTATAGACCCTGCTCTTTTTTCTAGAGTATGTTTTCAATATTTATAAAAAAAAAACAAAAAACTTATTAAATCACCAAACTCAAAAGAACTGTTTTGTTGCTTTTTCAAGAAACACGTCTGAGTGCATCTGGTGGAGAAACTGAGGTTCCTGATGCTAAAAATGCAACAAGTGATTCAACGTCAGCTCTGATAAGCGAGCTTCTCAGGATTCAACAGGACATGAAGAGTTTCCAGCTGGACAGAAAGCAGCTCCGGTAGAAATCTGTTTTTCCACTCTTCTTTTCTTTGCAATATGTGATGTGAAAATAGCACCGGTGTTTTATTCACTCAGGGCATGGCGAAAGCTGAAAGGGGTGTTACAGAGTTGGCTGCAGACCAGTGGAAAGGACGAAGTGATGGAAAAAAATGCTATCTGTCAAGAGTTGAAGGACGTAAGGACACAAGATACTTTTGTCACTGTTTATGTTGAACATAAACTTACATTGTTTGCTGTTACGCTATCTTGTTTTAATCATCACAGCCCAAAATTTGGTGCCTTTCACATTTAGGTTCACATAAGTATTAAGCTTAGTACCCCAGTCACACAAGTGTAAAGACTAATTTTACACTTGCGTTCCCTAGCGAACGGTGGTTGCTAGGGAACCACCAAAAGTGCATATTCCTCAACTAGTTGAGCCAGGAACCACTCACCAACCTCTTTTGGAGTTGCCAAGCCGTCTCTACGCCTGTGTGAGTGAAGCTTTAGAGATTATTAATGAAGTGAACTGCCTTTTGTTGAAAAAAGTATTTCTGTTAGGTAATTCCTCGACCAGTTCTAGAGTAAGATATTTTAAATTCCTGACATTTCAAATATTATGCAATTATTGAATCTACAAAGTGTATAAGCACTTATAACAACAGATATCTTACGCAACAAGTGAGCGTGATAAGGTAGGAAAACAGATTCAGTTATGACATACATTACCCTTTTCATTTTTTAACTATCTGTTATAAATCTAAGGGTTCACATTTATTTCCTTATGGAAAGGAAAAAGGGACTTTGCAATGTGTGCATGTGCAGTCTTAATCATGATGCTAGTTACCTGAAGTAACTTCTGAAGTTTCTCTTCCTGATGGCTCAGATTTTCCATGCATTCTTCTACAGCGTCATTTGACCTGTAAATCTCTGTCTGTGGAGGAAAAGAAACTGAGCTGAGAGGGTGGTGCATTCAATTAAGTTATTAAATTATTGTTCATGATACTGACTGTGTCACTCCTGGTGATTTTTCATTTGACAGTTGGAGGAGCTCATCGACAGGCTGTCCACTAAGCTGGAAAAACAGAAACCGGTGATGTTGCTGCACGCAGAGAGAATCCAGCATTTGCAGACTGTCCTCCGGAGTTTAGGACTTCATGCTCCTCATCAAAAAACAGAAGAGTCAGAATCTCAAAACTCTGCATTTCCAACATGACAGGAATAATGGAGAGCGTGACGGGCTCACCTGCTGATTGTTTGAACTGTTGTTCACTTGCCAGCATCACATTTTTTAAAAATAGTCTGATCTTAGAACTGAATCAGCACATGCATATTTAACTACTCTGTGCTTATGTCTTTGCTGCCCTCAGCTGGTGGGGACCAATTTGAATGGTTCTTATTAATTATTGTGTAAAATGTCTTCGGCATTCCCAAAACATAAACGTCAAGTGCCTTAAAGGAACACTCAGCTCTATAGCTGTAAATCCAGCAAAACATTGGATAGGGGTCGTCCTTGTTGCAGATGGTGCAAAATATTTTCCATATGTGTGCAAAGAGTGACTTTACTGTTTTCGGAGGAGGTGCCCTTACGCAATAGGTCTGCTATTACCCTGTTTGTAGCAGTGCTTCTAGTACTTCAGAAAATCACTGAACTAAAATCACAGATTTTAGTTTAACAGAGAGGACTGCGGTCTGTTTGCAGAGTTATTATATCTTTGATCAAGAGCAAGTCAAAATGCAAGGATTTTATCCCATTTTACTCTTTTCCACCTTTGTGTGCTCTGTAAGTGGTAAGTGTTGTTACTGAACTAGGTGATTATTATTGTTTCTTGAAATATTTTATGTTCTTCAGCCTCGTATTGTTGAGGTGTTTTTGGTTCCTGTTACCATCTGTTTGGAGCATTTGCTTTTCAGGACATTAATAAAACTGAGTTTAATAATATGAATATTGTAGTCTTTTGAATTTACTGAAAGTTGGAAGGACTGTATGCATTCTTATGGCCGTTATTTTCTTTCTTTAACCATTTGAACTGCTCCCTTCATGGCAGCTAAGAAGATGCGATGGTGCGCAGTGTCAGATCCTGAACAGAGGAAGTGTGCAGAACTAGCTAAAGCTCTGGCAGCAGTGGTGTCACCAGCCACTCTGGCAGCTTTTGCCAGACTTTCATGCATACGAGCATCTAGCACAACTGACTGCATCAATAGGATCAAGGTGAGCAAGTCTACAATGCAATACACAATAAAAAGGCGTTTTAATCCAGCTTGGAGCAAATTATTTAAAGTTGCTTGCATATCAGTAACAAGGGTGATGTGCAGAGATGTAGTAAAGCTGATTCACCTTACCATGAAAATATGAAAAAGAGCTGTTAAAGCTAGGATAAGAACCGAGGTGATGATTAGTGAGCAGCAGTTTGGCTTCATGTTGAGAAAAAGCACAACAGATGTCATGTGTGCTTTAAGAGTGTTGATGGAAAAGTATGGAAAGATGGAAGGAGTTGCACTTGTCTTTATGGAGATAACATGATAAGACGCCAAGAGAAGAACTGCGATACTGCACGAGGGAGTGCCAGAGAACTATGTGTGGATGGTGGACGACATGTATGAGGACAGTGGTGAGATATGTGATTGGAGTGACTCCTGTGTTCATGGTGGGGCTGGGTTTGACTTTTAGCCCCCTGTTTGCACTGGTGATAAGGCAGGCACGTGAAAATGAGGTAAATGAAAATTTACCAAATGCAAATGAAAGTCACGAGAAGCAAGACAGAATATGTGTGCAGGACTATAAGAGAGAGAGAAGTGTAATAGTGAAGTTGCAAGGAGAACTACACTAATGAAATTAAGCTGTAAAATAAATGCATTACAAAACTCAATGATTACATCCAGACTGTAGTGGAGTAAAATTAGAAAGCACCATAACATGGAGGACACAATAAAGTGCAAGTACATTACCCAAAAGTTGATTCTGTTCATCTGGACGTAGCGTTTTCAGTGGGAGAAACGTTTCCTCACTCATCCAAGTGACTTTTTTAGTCTCAGCTGACTGCAGGTTTCCCCAACCTTATAAACAGTACATTGCACATCCCTTCTTTTTGGGATAACCGTGTATTAGCATTGTATTAATTGAATTTGCTGAGATGTAAAATTAACTATTTAAAACTCTTTTTGTCAATTGTTTGTTTCAGGCTAATCGTGCTGACATTGTAACTTTAGATGCAGGAGAAATTTACTCAGCTGTCAAGCAGTTTGATCTTGTAGCCATTGCTAAGGAGATCTACAGTGATGGTAGGTTTAAGCTCACTTTTCTGAGATGTATCTTCAGCACTGATCTAAAAAGGGGGTTATTGAAAAATACGTTTCTCGAACTTAACCCCATTCAGAATGAGCTTGGAGCTTAGAATGAGCATAACCATGCAAAATAGTACCATCATACTGTGAAAATGTTCTGACTTTAACACCCTCAGAGTACAGGAGTGGTTTGAAATTTGGCACTTTTTAACTCATTCACTGCCAGCCATTGGCAGTGAATGAGTTAAACCCATTGACTCATTCACTGCAATTGACGGCTATAGACGTCAATGGCAGTGAATGAGTTAATAACCTTTTTTTCATATTTTTGAGCAATGCAAGAGCTAGCTTCATGGACAAAATGAAGGTAGAAAATAATTGATAATAATTCACAAGAGAAAACTTGAAAAAGTAAATTTTGTGTCAATCTTTCAGGGCTGTGCAGGAAGAGTGACTAGTTACAACATGCTGTAGCATCTGAAAGGTCGCCTTTTTACCTCAATTTTGACTAATCTTCTAGCCGTAATTCCTCATGCATATAATCATTTTCTAGCATAGTTTATATATTTAACACTTTCCAAATTGCCAGTTAAATATGAAATTATGTTTACTGAAGGAGTTAAGATCTTGGTAATGCTAAAGGAGCTGCATCTTGAGATTTCAGTTTTAGATTGGGACACCTGGAGTGGACATTCTGAACTTCCAAAAAAAAAAAAAAAACAAGAAAAAATAGAACCTGTTAAAAAGCACCCAGTCTTGACTCTTAAAAAATGAATCTTTTTGTATAGCTTCAATAACTCAGGTGGAAAAAAATTTAGACTTGGTTGATACTGATATGAAAAGACCCACATTTCTGTTTATATATTTATCTACAGGAGGCTGTACTCTGTCTGTGGCTGTGGTGAGAAACAGCAGCTTGGACATACGATCCCTGCAGGGCCACAGGAGCTGTCACAGCGGAGTTCGATGGACAGCTGGATGGAGTCTCCCGCTCGGCTTCCTGCTGTCCCGAAACTACCTGAGCTGGGCAAAGGAGCATCCGCTTAGTCAGGGTAATTGGACTGTAATCAACTGTCAGCTGCTTTTTTCCATAAATGTGTTTTCATTTCTGATCTGGGTTTTCAGTCCCCCACCCTGACTTGTTTTTTCTCCTCCTCTGACAGATGTCAGCACTTTTTTCAGTGCCAGCTGTATTCCTGGTGCTGGTGCGATGGCACCTCCTCTGTGCACTTTGTGCCAGGGCCAGAAGTCTTACATACGCCAGAAGAATTACCACTGCGAAACATCCCACAGCGAGCCCTTCTACAACAACCAGGGAGCTCTCAGGTCAGGCTTTACAAAAGGTCAACCAGTTAAAACATCAGGAAACTGTTTTTATTTCCTGTTTTGCTCTGTTACAGATGTCTCAGGAGGGGGATAGGGGATGTTGCATTTGTGGACCATTTAGCACTTGAAACTATTGAAGGTACGCATTTTTTTTATATTGTATTGAAATAAGAATATATATGGGGATATCCCAAAACCAGCAAAAATTAAACAATAAAACTAAAGATGACATTACAGTTTGACTGAACAGAGTCTTTCTGATGACAGTGGGTGATATAGTTGTTCAGTGCTAACCACAATAGCACCTCACAGCCTGTGTGTGTTTCCTCTGGTACCCCGGCTTCCTTCGATGGTCCATATTCATGCTAGGGCAACTGCTGAGCCTAATCAGCTAATGCATGTGAGATAGATAACGTGCTTAAAAGAAAAGTGCTAAGCTGCGCACAACCTTGGGACTGAGCCAATTATCAAATTTTTGTTTTGTTTTTCATGATCAAACTTCTGTATTACTTTGTATTGCTGCTATGTTTCAGCCATAAATAAACTTTCCTGATCTTTGTGCTACAAACTGCTTTCACCATAAACTGAGAGGGGTTTGTTCCTTTATTTTACACATAGTCATCAGGACTAACAGGTTTTAAAAGATAATGTACAGAAAAAGCTTGCACAGAAAACCAAAATATAGAATATAATATGTTGTTCATCAAAATGTCCTTCAACTTATTTTCTTAACTGCTTATTATTCGGAGTCGCTGAAAGGCTGGGGCCTAATCCAGCTGTCAATGAGCAAGTTTTGGGGATGCTCTGATCTAGCCAACAAAATCTGGTCCTCTTCAAGCTCACTCAAATCCTTATGCTTGCCCAGTTTTCCTGCTTCTAATCCATCAACTTTCAGGACAAAATGTTCTCTTGGCACCTAAATATATCCCACATATTAATAAGTGCCAAGATAAAGAAACAGTCAGCGTTATTCACTTCACCTGCAGGGGGTATAATGTTATGCCTGATCGCTGTAAATATCCTGTTTAAATCAGTTCAACCACCAAACTGCAGAAAGTTGCACTGACCCTTAAGACTTGTTTACCTTTCAGTTTTTTATTTGTCTCTTTTGTCAGAGAGTGAGCGTGATGAGTTCAGGTTACTGTGTACTGATGGCACACAAGCTCCCCTCAGCCAGTACAGAAGCTGTAATCTGGGTCGTGGTCCAGGAGGGGGCATGGTCACCAGAGTTAATTTTCGCAAGGTTGTTCGCAAATTTCTAGCAACTGTGCAGGTAAATAGTTTGTTCAATTTCCATCTCTGTGCCTAAGGGTCATAGCTGTTACTGTACCCACTAACTGATTGTTCAAGCATTTTTTATTAATTTGTTAGACGCTGTTTGGTCGGCAAGGAAGAGAGTGGCAACGCTTCCAACTCTTCAGCTCCTCATCTTTTGGAGAAAACGATCTTCTCTTCAGAGATGTGACTGAGAAACTCGTTGTCCTGCAAGACGACATAGATGTCAGTCAGGTGCTGGGGCTGGATTATGTGGCGCTGCTGAAAGGACTTGGGCATGAAGGTGCTTGTTCTAGTATATGTACGGTTGTACATTTTTAAACTCAGAACGCACAGGCTTGGGTTTTACGGTGTCTTTGTGTTTGCAGGAAGCTCACTGGAGGACAGTGTCATTAGATGGTGCTGCATCAGCTACGCAGAGCAGAAGAAGTGTGAGCAGTGGGCGCTCAGCATAAAGTCTGACCCACTGGTGTGCGTCAGAGCTGTCTCAATGCGTGACTGTATCGAGAAAATTAAGGTAAGCCATCTAGACTGCAGATTATTGAGATGTTTATCAAACTCTTTAGGACACTATACAAGCTAAAATGACGTGTGCCTTTACCACAGAGGGATGAGGTGGACGCTGTCTCGCTGGATGCAACGCATTCGTTCATCGCAGGGAAGTGTGGTCTTGTCCCCGTTGTGACGGAATATTATGGTAGGACTGTTGCAGAATATAATAATGTAATGTAATTATGAAGTAAACACACGAGGACCTCTGAATGGCTCAAAATAACAGAAATGAAGGTTTAGATTGGCCTAACCAAAGTCTGGGTACTTTGGCATAGCCTCAAACATGACGTTTATGCTCAAACATCTTCTAGTGTAGCTGAATTAAAACAATTCTGCAGAGAAGTATGGGCCAAAAGTCCCCCGCAGTGAGGTGAAAGACTCATTGCCAGTTATCGCAGATGTCTGATTGTAGTTCTTGCTGCCAAGGGTGGCGCAAACATTTCATAGGTTTAGGCAATTACTTTTTCACACAGGGCCAGTAGGATTGCATAGCATTTTTCCCTTGTAA